ATTCATCAAGTTATTCAAATCAGTGTTATTTCGAATAGGATTGACGATCACTACGTATTGAACATGCAATAACAAACTTAATAACATCAGATGAATTCCAACAAAGGCCATCAAAGTCATCGCATACGTACATACATTTTAAACATTTCATATGTACTCATGAAGAAAGCAAAAGGCGTTGATAATGAGCAGAAAAATTCACAGTAAAACGCTTCGTCGTCTTGAAATTTCTTATTTTGATAAATTTCGCGTTCTCATCACAGCAAATTTCCCATAGTAATTACTCTCCAGTCGTTCTACACGTGCTCTTCTGGAAATCGTTTCAATTCGTCATTTCCCGGTTTGCTCCTTTTCTACAACCTCGATTTATTCGACAGCTCTATGACTGCACAATTGCTGAATTCAGTACAAAATTCTGTTGCGAAACAGATCTTTTTTCCCTTCTTCTCATTGACTGAAATGAGGCAATTCTGAAAAATCATTGTGAAATTCAAGCAATTCGAAAGATCGAACTATACTTGAGTGAGAGTTGCTGAAATTATTTCTTACCTAGTAGCAGAGTTGCAAAAATTTTGAAGCAGCACGATGAAATCAACAATCGATATCTCATAAATCCCTCAAGAATATGAAAGCCATTGCCTGACAATTCATCAACCACATCAAATCCTACAGAAAAATAAAAATGCTGTTGCGACGAAGCAAATGCACAGTGGAAGAGCAAGCAAACAAAATGAAGATAAGAAAATTCCCTTCAGGGATTAGTTCGTATCTCAATTAGAGGATTTCGAAGACTGACTGGAATACATTTCAACCTTACGTTCGTGAAATTTTGCCGTTTCTCTTTCATGTTGTTCGCTCTTCAGATCCACCCTAGTCCATTAATACATTATCACTGTGGGATTTAAAGTGCTAGTTGAAAAACGTTCCCAATATAAGTCTCGGATCATTCCTGAATGCGTAGCATTTTTTGATACTCAATACGAGTGTCGGATCTTTCTCAAATGCATAGCATTTTCTGATGACTGCCTCATGGATTTTCTGGAGAATGAAATATTTCGCAGCCTTTTCGGTCAGCTTAATTGATGACACGTTCATTCGCAATATTGCTACTTGGAACCGCGATTGCATTCGATTTTTGTGCTCATTTCCTATCTATCAGCGCAACGAAATATGCGCATCTAAAGTGATGGACTGAAAGTGATTGCTGAAAAGAAACACCAATTTTTTCTGCTTCATCAGCACTTTGCTACTGAAAATTTTCTCACGTATCTTTCATGTTTGATAATTGCGTAAACACTCTGGCTCCCATAGTAACACTTTTATTAGTTTTTCGTCTAACTTATGCTTGTTTCCATCAAACCAGATGTTCATTAGTTAATGTTTGTTTATAGTCAGTGAATATGTCACTATTTGAAAGGAAATACGTTCGTTTGCGTACACAACTAACATGTGATAAGCAACATTTTGGATTTGGATTGGATTGGAGTGGATTGACATTGCTAACGATTAGATGACGTGTAGCGAAAGTAGAAGAGGAACGGGGTGACGAAAAAATACGAAGATATCTTTGATCGTATGCCGTAGAGCATGCATGTACATTCAACAAAACATTCATCCGTTCCAATGACATAGTGAGTTTTTGAATCAATCCATTCATGTAAATTAGCCAGTGATGAAACTGCACCAGATGCTTGATCAGATGCTATCAACCGTATGATAATGACAGATTAAGTGCATGGTAATGATGTGATTAGGTCATTGGATAAGATGCTTTCAACTTCACGATGACATGATATCATCAGTATGGCGTGATGCCGGGTAAGGCTCATCACTACTGCATTTAAGATAAAAAGTTCTCGTTAGGTTGTACTAGCAAACTCAGTTAGGATTAATGTTAGGTTTTGGAGTAATTATTTTAACGTAATGATCAACTTTATTATATAGAAGCATGTACATGTGCTAGTGGTTATTACATATTGAGTTGTGAATATGGAGATTGAATTACACATGCGTGCCATACCCATTATATTATAGTTGCTTTTTTTCGGATTAACTTCGCATCAGCTAACCACCAGTTTAGCTTATATGTATACATTATTTATTGAGATTTTATTTGAGAATGTATTATCCCTTCAGTGAGCTTATAAATCAATGCTTATGGATGCTAAATATGACGTAAAGCAGGTAAATGATGTACTCTGAATATGTATCATTGGAAAATTTTTTTCGAAAGTACATTTCAACGACACAGTGAATCTTTTGATATCTAAACTTCATTAGAGTTATGAGGTTCCGTCCGTCCAATAGGAAACGAACGTTTTTTTTGCCAAGAGGCTACAAACTTCATGTGAATTGGAAACTGCGATTGCGACATTAGGGACGAAAAAATGTGATGCTGGTGATTCATGTCTTTTTAGCATTGAAGTTATAGTTGAACGAGAGAATGTTCGTTTTTGGATGGGACAAGAGTGAAGGGGAATATTTGGAAATTATGAAAATTCATGCAAATAACCAATTTCGGAACAAGAAAAAAGCCAATACGTCAATGGTGACAACGTCAGAGAATATGATGACTATAGTGGAAAAAGTTAATGCTTTATGGACTTTTACACGGAATTTGTGCACATTACATCATAAATATGATACCATGAAGGTAGTGATTATGCTACAAGATGTGAAAATATGATCGAAAGAACTGCAAATTTCACAGCAGCTCCAACTTGATTGTGTCGTTAAGTGCTTGAGCAATCAAAGAATTTCCATTCAGACGCTTCTCTTGAGCTTCATTCGATCGAATGGTATTTCCAAGCACATAGAATTGTCTCAGACATATCTTCGAACAATTATCTCATCAACTCCATTTTTGCTTATCTGCTAACTGAATTGACCATAATCCTTTCGAAGAGATGTTTCCCTTTCTGTTCCTCCATAAAAAATTCCGAATTCCATTGGATTTTTCGGAAGGGATTTTCTTTTTCGTCACTGCTTCACTTGCACGAATTTTTTTGGCAGTTAGTGAAAAATTCCCTAAATCCATTTCGTTTGCTTCTATTCTGTTCTATACCAATGAAGAAACACATGCAGTCACACCCGCACACACAAAAAAAACATCCGAGCACATGGATTTACACATAATGCCTTTGGTTACTCGTTATCTTTTAATGGTATTATTTATCCGAATGTATTATTTATCCGAATGCCCTTTGGAGGCCCATTTGCACATTTGCATGCTCAGTTATTCGTCTACTGAAAAAATCATTATCGGCTTCTAAAGCTGTCTCAAAGTAATCATTTCCTCTGCTTGACCGAAGTCAGCCAAGTATCGTTATTCACGAATCATTCTGGAAACAAACAATTCGTCACGCATGCTCCCAGTTCCTATTGAATGCCGACTCGCAACCAATAAACCATTACAACTCGTACAACTGCATGTTTCTTCTAAACTGCCTTCGGCTTCCACCAGTCATTATGCGCTTTCAAGCCGTCCATCCCGTTTCGTGACTCTCACATATTCGAGAGGGTTATTGTTATTTCCAATTTCATTGCTATCTTATGCGCTTGCTTCCGAGCATTTTGAGCATATATCACGTCAAGCATTCATGCTTTATCCTTCATTTTTCATCTATGCATGAATCTGCGCTCAGTTGAATTCAAGCGTACGTCGCATACAGATCAACACAATCCACATCATCAACACAATCGTTGCAGTCTTTATCATTTCATTCATCACATTTAGCCCGTAGCAAACTCTTCATTGTTCACTCAATGAAAGTAATATTCAAATGAAACTAATAACTATAGCAACAACTAATAACTATACTAATGCTAATGATGGTGTGCTTAATAGATTATTTGATAGATTAGGGTATGGAAATCTTCAATCAGTTGTATCTCATCGCCTTTTTTCTGCAGCACTCTTGAGAAATCATTCGCAATTACATATTCCGTTTATCAACGAAACCAACGGAGACAGCAGCTGCATTAAATTAAACGACTGACTGCAACCAAAATCAATCTTGTTCTCTTCAAACCTAACGCTTTGTCTCTCAATTTCGACTGGTTGCAATATTGCTTTTATGTTATCGAATATAAATATGATTCGAGATGATATATTGATGATCATTCGAGAAGATCATCAAATTTTTTAAATGAATCATCCGTTATTTCCATCGATTTTACCAAGAAGAGCAGAGTAAATTCTAGGACGAATTATACTAAGGATGAAATTATATTAGTGATCTCTTTTCGTTGGGATTATTCTTTGATATTATGGAATCGAAGACGATCCCCTTTCACAAAAATTCTCCATCAAACATGAAAATGGTCCAAGCAAGCTTAATTCCTACCTGAAATTCTTACTTTTGACATTTTTAATGGATTTCTCGTCTCCTACTCTATAAATGTACCACCTCACTCATCTAAGGGTAGTTCTAGAACGAGCCTGATATTTAACTTGAAGTTTATTAATCGTCATTGTGCTCAGTGAGATCAAAAGTTATCCTAAGATCTGTTAAACTAGCCATTTATATACTCATATTTACCATTAGTGATCATACGGCGTCATTGCTTTGCAGTTTATCCTATTTCACATGCCTAAATTATCAACAATTGATTCGTTGAAGCCAAGTTTGAAAAACTCTTTAAAACGTTCGGCTTGATTGCATTCTGATATGAATCAGTTCATTCGATCGGAAATCTTTTTTTAGTGACCAATTCAGTCAACTCAAATCATTTTCGACGAAATATTTCTTCATTTCTTTTTTAAGCTATACTCAGTTTGCTCCCGTTTGCAGCAATCACCAACCGCTCAGTCTGTTGCATAAATGCGTATTCCTTCGCCATGAATGCTAAGGATCAAGCAGGATCCCATTGTGATTCGATTGATACTTGTGGTAGCATTGCTCAGCTCTGGTATCATTGCTCTATGCATGATCAATCGAAAGTGACTTGTTCAA